CCTGTTTCCCATGATTTCAAGAAAATAATAGATTGCAGTTCTGAGAGTACTTCAGCCAGTTCCTTCAGTACTCTTGGATGCAGTTCGTCCGGCCCTGGAGATTCGAACTCATTCAAGGTGGTAAGGTATTCCTTGAATATTTATTTATCAATCTTCAGCAGCAATCCTATCCCCCCACTTGCACTTCCAATTTGTTTGGAAGTTCATAGTATGTCTTATGGGGAAAAAAACTGAACTAAAATAGGAATTGAGCACCTCTGCCTTTTCTTTGTCATCTGTTATCATTTTTCCATCTCCATTGTGAAGCTGTGCCACCATGTCTTTTGTTTGTCTTTTGCTGCTCACATACCCGAAGAGTGCTTTTTCATTGCTTTTAGTGTCTCTAGCTAACCTCAGCTCATTCTCAGCTTTTGCCCTCCTAATGCCATCCCTGCATTTCCTTGCGACTTGTCTGAAGTTCCTTGCTACTTGTCTGAAGTCCTTGGTGGCCTGGCCTTCTTTCCGCTTCCTGAACATGTCTTTTTGGTTCTTAGGTTTGCCCACACTGCCCTTTGTTTTCCGCCTCCACCTTTTTTTCTCGTTGGAATTGTTTGTAGTTCTACGTTTAGAATTTCTTTTAAAAAAAAGCTCCCACCCTTCTTGGACTTCTTGTTAGGATCTTCTGCCATGGGACCTTACTTATCCTTGTTCTGAGATTATAAAATTGGCTTTTTAAAAATCCAGCAGAAGTATGTGGCTACACTCTGCAGCAATTATGTTTTAAATTTGCTTTAGATTTTAAATTCCGTATTGTGGGAGGGAGGCTTTGCCATAGAAGAAATAGAAATATTTTGACTTGCAGCAAACATGTTTCAGACACACATTACTGTATATAGAAAGCATATTAAGATTGGAGAGGAAGACTTTATCTTCAGTAACAAATGTCAAAATAGAAGGGTTTTGAAATAAATCATTTTGTACCAAACGCCTGTAGCTCATATCAAGTTTGCACATCAACTGATAGAGGAAAAATAGTACAACAAAGTTGCTGAAGGGTCTAGAACAAGGGTTGAGGAATCTGCAGTCAGTTCCCATTACATCATCCCTGGCCACTAGCTGTTGTCGATGAGAGTTGGAATCCAACAAATTTGCAGAGCCACAGGATCTCCACCTGTGCCGCAGCCTGCAGAATGCTTCTGTGTTCCATCCAAAACAAAGAAGCATGCCAGAGATGGGAAACACATGGCTGTTCTAATAGTGGTGGACTTGACTTCCAATGTTCCCTCACTGCAGGATATACTGGCTAAGGCTGATTGGAATAGTGCTCCGATAACAAGGAGGGCTATACATTCCCCATCTATGAAGGGAGGTGCATCTTCCTGCGGATGTCTCCAATGCAGTGCAATACAGATGTGTTGAAGCAGTTGCTGCTGGATCCATTGCAACACATGGAGGGCCTTAGTAGGCTGAGGACAGTAGGACTTCAGCATCAATTAGTAGCTCTAGCGTGACATCATTTCAATTTAAATGTCAGCAGAAAGATCCTTTAACCCTTTTGATTTGTGTTCATTGTAGGTTTGATGTCTCTGCAATTTATCCAGATGTCAAGCGGCCGAGTACCTTCCTGCAGGCTCCCTACTCTAAGGTTGTCTGTTCAGAGTTGGTAAGTCTATGTCTCAGCATACCTTCCATAGATGAAGTGAAATTACAATTCAGTTTTACTGCATTTGCTGTTGAATTGGTGACTCATGCAGTGCAGTCTTTCATGAGCCTTAATATTATTCCATGGTTTCATTTTTTTATACCCAGAGCCTTGGAATTCTCCTATGCACAGATGCAAAAATGTCTTGGGTATTTTTACCAGTGATTTCATGAAGTTCAGCAGCTGCATAAAATATTACATGCAACGACAAACACATGTGAGGCACAGAACAGCACCTGGGACTGGGTCACACTAAAGAGGCAGACAACAATATGAAGGCTTGTGTGACAATGGAGTTGTGCCTTTTATTGTGATCCTTCAAGGCCCCCTTCACCTAGACATGCAAAGAGCCAGAAAAATTAAAGGGATTCCCCTATTATTTGTCTGTTTTTATTCCTCTAAAGATGTATTGAAAATACATCCATTTTTTTCCAATTAGAAAAATTTGAAACATTGGAAGATGTAGGGGAAAAATCACAATAGAAGATCTTGTCTTTTGGAATGTGATCAATCCTTTTAAAGATAAGATGTTACGTTAAAAAGTAGGGAAGAGTATAATATGACAATTAGTCATATTAGACAATCTGCAGAATGAGAGAGTGGTCATTCCTGGGCAGACTTTAGACATATGCAGTGCTCATATCCAATGCTCATGTACTTCTGCACCTCCTGGCTGCTGCTGTCTTTATAAAAAGAGCATGTGAAGGTGGTGCTTGACTGCTTCTGGGCTGCTGCTCTCTTTTGTTTGTTTGTTTGTTCTGGTGCCATTTGCTTTAGTTTGGTGAAAACAATCACAGTAGTGTCTGTCCAAATAATATACCTTGCTTTCTGTATTGCAAAAGTTGTGGCTTTTGCCTCCCTGGTCCTTGCCCCCTATATGGCAAGCGAAGCCATTCCTCCAAAACACAAATCCCAGAAATTTTGCTGGAGGCTCCCTCTTGTAAAATAATACTGTATTTCCTGCACGATGCCCCTCTGGATGCTGGTGCCATGTGCAACAAGGCCAACTCTTCAAAATAAAGAAAATGGACAGAAGTGTGTGAGCGTGTGTGCATGCATGCGTGTGTGCATGCACCGTATGCTGAGTAGTATGTGTGGCATGTGGATCTGTATGAGTATGTATGCATGTGTAGCTCCTACCTTCAACTGTGGCCCTCAGGGATCAAAACACATCCTAGACCATGCCACGCCTTATCTAATGATTAACGATTCATCTTGCCTTGTCTGTGCCATCTTTTCAAAGGACAATGACAGGAACAGATTAACTGCATATTTCCCTTAGAACCGAAAATTAGGACCAGGCCGATACAGCGTTGACTATGGAGGCTTCAGTTCTCATTCCTTGCAGAAGAGGTCGACAAGCTCCAGCTGGGCAAAAGCACAGGAAGCCACGAGGCTCACTCAAATGCCTCATTTTAATTTTAAAGAAATATGCCACAGGGGGAAACTTCTGGTGAGTGTTTGACTTCTATCTTTTAGCTCTGGGTCAGTTAAACTGAGGACTGAAAATACTAAGCTGCCAGTTTATCCCCAAATTTAGTGGAGAACGCAGTTTGCTTGATTCTGGCAATGAATTGTGATCATTTTTCCAAACGTTGTACAATATGTTCACAATACTGCTATAGCAGGAAACTTCCAATTTGTCTCGAGCCTTGCATTTAGTGAAATGATGCAACCTTAAGTATGGTCATCATTTATTTATTTATTTATTTATTTATTTATTTATTTATTCATTCATTCATTCATTCATTCATTCATTCATTCATTCATTCATAATAATTTATTGTCATTGTAAGTATATACACAGTATACCCATACAACAAAATTCACAGAAATTCATTCATTCATTCATTCATTCATTCATTCATTCATTCATTCATTCATTCATTCATTTAATATCCTGCCTATCTGGTTGGTTAAGACCACTCTAGGCGGCTAACAACATAAAATTAAAACAATAAATATATATACAACAAGTTACATAAAATAGACATTACAAAAAACTGAGAGCAAACAATGGGGAGTAGAGAAAGAGGACATCAGGGATTGACTGGAGGGAAGGCCTGCCGAAACATCCATGTTTTTACTTGATTTTAAAGATACCCTGTTCCAAGGCCAGAGGACAGTTGTTGAAGAGACATGTATGTGATGCTTTTCATGTGTTCTCTCCCCTGCCCCTTCCCTTGTTAAGAAAGAAAAACTGGGTCCTGGAACATACAACTACACAGATTTCCTGCAACTCGAGGAGAGGCGTCCATGCAGTATTAGGGGGATATGTGATACTGGCGAAGTCAGATTCAAAGACCGCATCAGGGTAGGTTCTGGCTTCTTTCTTTCCGGTCCCTTGAAATGTCCAGCAGATGAAGAAAAAAAATCTTCATTAACTGTACTGAGGAGATCATGAGAGCTGCAGTCTAGCATGAGGCAACGTCAGGGTGGCCAAATTAGAAACTAGATGTTCTTCACAACACAGAACAGTTTTGCTGGGGAACATTGCAGAACATCCATAACTAGAACCTATGAGGCTAAGGTGCAATCCTTCTGACCACACACAACCAAAATTGATTTGGGATCTTAGGTGAAGAGTAAATGCTTTCCAACCACTTCACTGAAAGCTGCTTGCTTCAGGAGTTGGTGTGGTATATCTGTTAGAGTGTCAGTGTTGGATTCACATGGCCTAAGTTCAAAATAAAATAAGTACAGTTCCTATGACAATATTCCTAGAATTCAGAAATGTTACTTTGTGGGACAATTATTTGTTAGATTCTGTCAAATTGCTCCATGATGCTACATAACAAACTAAAGGCTGCGCCTTCCATGACTGAGTCAATCCATCTCCTTACTTTCCTAGCATTATAGTCTTGTCCACTGAGACTTGTCTTCTCATGATGTCCCCAAAATACCACAGCTTCAGTTCAGTACATTTTTGACCACAGGTTGCAAAATCCCAAGCTGGCTAGAAAATTCATGGAGATGTAGTCCAAAAAAAAAAAATTAATATTCCCAAACTCCAATTGTCCCTAACATTGTTTGGACAAGGGAATTAATTATAAGCCTGTTACAGATACTAATAATTCACTAAGGGAATGTAAAGCCACTGTTATGTCCCTGCACACAAGGTTTGAATAAGCTCTGCCATCATACCTCTGCCTCACATCTCCAGCCATGTAAGCCGGTAACTCTGAAGTGCAGCAGAGAGGAAGAGATGGAGTGTGGTGGCAGCAGGATATGGGATTTCCATTTGGGTCAACCTTTAGTAACTTAAGTTCTAACCATTCACAGGAACTATCTGGGCTGTGGTGATTTTGCCTACTACGATCACATTGAGAAGGAGGAGGCACTCCCTCTTGTTACTATGGGCAGTTATTCTAGGCTCCCATCCATGGCCTGTAAACGTTGCCTTCTTCCTGCTATCCTACCCCCCAACTTATGAGGAAGGTTTTCTACTCTCCAGCGCTGCCTTCTATCAGGAATTATCTCTTGGGGCTGCATGCTGGTAGTGCTTGGGAGCAGGTCCAAAAGTGGAAGAGATCAGAGACGAAGAGACAACTTCTCTTTTTGCCAGACTCTGCTCTTAATCTTCCTCCTTTTGCCATCCCTCCATTCCTCTCTCTCTCTCTGTTCCCAGTTCTTTGAACTCTCTGACTTCTTTAGGCAGGCTGATGGGAAGGGACAGGCCATTCTTGCTTTGGATCTGAGGCGATAACTTTCAGACAGCTACTTCTCTATATATTTATTCCTTCCTCCCCCCCTTTTTGTCTCCTTTCTTGCCCTTCTGCCCTGCACAAAATTAGAACTGAGGGTCACCAGTTGCCTTTTTGCCACGGGATGCCCACTCCACACCCCCCCCCCAAAGGGCCAAAACACATCATTCAAAATCTGTGCCTGGAATAAGCCACTGAATTTGTGATGTAGAAAAGGAGAGGAAAGGTTTTCAAGTGGAAAGAGAAGGGCTGGCTTGTATACAAGCTTACAAACCCTATGTCTACACCACACCTCTTTGCTTTGCTGTGAATCTGGAAAGTGGGGATGCAAAATAGTACTTGCACTGGATCGATGTTAGTATTTATGAAGCAAGAGTGACTCATAGTGGATTAATAGGTGAAAAACCCAGTTATTGCTGCTAAGGCTTTATGGGCTGGGAAAACAGCCAAATATCCAAAGTACGTATGATCATATTTCTCTTCCTTGTTGTTTTCTAATGTTTTCTTCATTCTTATCTGTTATACAGAATGCCCACTCATGTATTTGTTTTGCATTATAACAGAATTGCCCAACCTAATGCCTTCCCAGTGTGTTGAGATGTGCCATCTTTGCCCCAGACCTGGATAGAAGGTGTTGCCGAACATAGAATGACACCCAGGTTGGGGATGGCTTTTGTAAAATATTATCCTCTGAAATCATTATAGCAAACTTACCAATCACACAGATCTAAAAAAATACTTAGAAGTATAGGATTCATCTATTCAATCCTGAAGGAAAGAAAGTTTGCTTTGTGGGAAACTAGGAAAGGATCTAGAAACAATTTTAAGTACCAATGGCTGAAGACAACAGGTTATTTGTGTTGCCAGCCTCTTCCTCACATCCCTGGGTAAGGCTCAACAGCAATACAGTGAGACAAAATTTAATAGGTGATGTTTTTCCGGTGAACAACAAAATTTCAACACAGAGGTCTGGAAAGGATCTCTGAGATCCTTGAGATCTCCTCAAGGATCCAACACCTGTTCATTGCAGTTTTACAATACGAGATGCAACTGCAGCATCCTTGGCAGATTTTATCTTGATATATTTATTGAAGGCCTAATCATACCATAGCCTGGAGCAGACTGTTCTACTGTCTTAAAGGTTGGCTAATGCTACTCATGATTAGTCATGATCTGCTAGTGTGCTATTTTTATGGAGTGAAACCTAGTAGAAAGTCACTACTAGAATAGGAGTTGATGAGTCAAGTCCTCCACAAGTTCCATTGAGTCAAGAAACCTTCTGGAGTACAGCTTACTACTGGGTTTCAGCCACTGGCTCCTGCCTTCCAGAGGAGGAAGAAAACAAGTTCACTCCTTCAGATGCCTCTTAATTATCTCTGTCAATGAATTTCCTCAGTAGCATTTGTTTCTGTGGTGGAAAAAACATGCTGGGTGGGGGTGGAATCCTCCCATTTAATACTTGTCATTGTCACATGGACTCTGCCAAAATATATAAACATTTCTACCTTTAAACTTACATAATGAAACTTTTACCTTTACATACTTTCTGTGATAGATATGAAATCTGATATTTTCTAAGAAAAATAATTGTTGGTTAGTTAAAACATTTTTTTTACTTTCTCTCTCCACCCCCATGAGTTGGGTCATGTTAAGGGTAGGTGGGGAGATGCGAGGATTTCTTAAAAATCAAAAACTGAAATATGCTGAAACATTTGGGAACCACAGTTCTAATTAACTGTCCCATCTTTCACTCAGGAATGTTATCCTGCACCAGGAACCTATGGGAATCCTTACGCTGTCCTGGAAGAGAAGCAAAAACGCTCTTCATCTGCACTTGGAATCATGGACAGCAAAACTTCAAAATGTTTTGCTTTCCTTAATACGGCAAGCTGTATTTCCTGATTCTTCTCTTATCTGTCTTTGATTGCTATGGCTTTTCTGTTTGGTAATGATGAAGCAGTGGTGGAGTGGTGTTATGGCTCACAGGACTGAAGCACCAGGACTTTTTAATGAGCAGGGATGATTGTATCATCTGTCCCTTCCAACAACCTTGTCCTTTCTGACCACAGTTGTAATCCTCATTGTAGTGGGGATAGGGGGTGTGGCAGTTCCCAGCAGCGTGTTGGCGTGAGCTATAACTCTTATAATGCAAAGTATTTTGTGGGTCACAAACAATAATTATCTTCTTGAATGAGCATATGTGTTAACTTTATGAAAGACATGCTCCTGAAGAAGAAGAAACTTAACAGAATCAGTTGCTGATGTAAGTCTACACAGCTGCCTGCAACTGTAGATTGTCCTTGGCCGGTGACCATGGCTACTGTCATAATGAAGATCTGCACTTCATTTATCAATGCAATTAATCCAACAAAGGGGGAGTTGTTAGGAGCACAGATGGGATTTTGTGTTCTGGGATACAAATATAATTCTCTGTTCTTGGAATTCTAACTACTTTACAGACACCTAAATGTGATGTACCAGGGAGAAAGTCCTAAAATTGGAAGGGCTTTGAGGCCTAGCTCCACCCAAGCTTCCTGCTGGGGAAGAAAACTCACAGCTAGCCTTGGGGCAGGAACAGAAAGCTTGGGGGGAGCTAGGCCTAGCTAAGTATCAAAACTTTCCAATACTGTATAGATTTTTTCCCCCAAGGGCTTCACGGGCAGTGGAAGACAAGAGGGCCTGGCGTGCTCTGGTCCATGGGGTCAGGAAGAGTCAGACACGACTTAACGACTAAACAACAAGGTAGATAAAACTCCCAGAAAAGAGAACTATGGTATTTGAAGTTCCAGAAAAATCCATAAATCCCATTCTTAATAGGGTGTGACAACTGTGAGAAGACTCCTGCTACAGTGGGGTCTTGACTTGAGAACTTAATCCGTATTGGAAGGCGGTTCTCAAGTCAAAAAGTCTGTAAGTCAAGTCTCCATTGACCTGCAGTGCATTGAAAACCGATTAATCCCATAACAGGCCGTTTTTGTTCCATTTTGGTTTTTTTCTGGTCTGTAAGTCAAATCTCAGTCTGCAAGTCAAACCTAAATTTTGCGGCCAGAGAAGTCTGTAACTCAAAAAGTCTGTAAGTCAAGCCGTCTGTAAGTCAAGGGTCCACTGTATTTCCCCCCCTAAAATATACTGTATAAGAAGCCATAAATAACACTTCAACGTGTCATATGCCACATAACATTAGTTATAAATATTGCAAAATTAGACATCTCCTTTTATTCTCTATAAACATAATTAATTTTACCTACTTTGAGGGATGTATTTATCTCCTAGTTTTGTTTGTTTATTTGGAGTGTATACAACAGTTATACTGGGAGCAATGAAACCAAAAACACTTTCCTGCCTCGCTCAGTAAATGCTACTCTTTTTTTACTGCTTAACCCATGTTCTGCATAACCATTTGATATTTAGGGAAGTGGATTGGGACCCGGCACCTACAATCTCAAAAACGGCATGGACGAAATGCTGAAACGAGTAATCAGCAAGAGAGGACCTTATGAAACTTTCACTGGAGACAGGTCAAAGCCGATCATTTGTGGGCATTATGCGACTGATGTATGTTGGCGCCTCTCCTTCAGTTTACAAGGGTTTTTCAAAGGGTTGGCCAAAAATCTTTTGCCACCTGAGACAAAGGGCAAACTGATACCCCACCACCCCATTTCAAATACAGAAGCTAAATGATCTCAGAGTTCTGTTTCTGATGGAACTGCTTGGACAAGAGTGATAGTCCAACAAAGTGCCTGAGACCAAAATTCTACTTTATAAGTCAATGGGCAGACTGTCCTCCAGCACCTTCTCTCTGCTCTGCAATGTGACTACTTTATTCTACGTAAGAGTAGGACAGAAACTGGTTTTGCAAAGCATTGTGATACATGTTAACAGTTGAGAGAGAATATATATATAATAATTATGTGCCCTCAACTCAGTTCAGACTTACAGCTACCCTTTCTAGGGTTTTCTAGATACAAAGAACTGAGGTTTACTGTTCCCTATAGAAAACCTCTCATTCGAAGTTGGATTTCTTAATGTTTGCAAAATAGCTACAATAGTTTGTTTTGTGGTTAATCTTCAGGAGGGAAATAGTCATGTCTCTGGTATACGAACACGGTTTCAATTCCTGCAACAGGTTATCCATAATACATAGTTTGAACCTTTGGTATGTCTGAAAAGACTTCAGTTCCTCAGTGAGGATGTATAACAGATTCTGTCTTTTTCTTGTTAAAATCCAAGCAGAGTCTTACTGAATTCCAGTACTCGCAAAACTGGGAATTAAAAAAAAAGATAGGTGGAGGATTCACTGAGGAACTGAAGTACATTTTTTCTAGTTTCTAATTTCTTCATAGTTGCCCTTCCAAGTCTCAGTCTTCTGTCTGCAGTCTCCATTTTGACTGATGATTGTCTGCATTTAAGTTAAGCAGTTCTTCTGTAGTCAATCATTTTGCCTTCTTAATGTTCAACTGTAATTCTGCTTTTGTACTTTTGCACTTGCTGCTTTTACTTTCACATGTAGTTGCCTTCAACCCGCTGCTATTTTCTGCCAATAATAGGTACCATCTGAAATTTTAAGTACTGTACTTACATTTTTCACTTCATTTCAAAGCTTGAAAGGCTTGTGGTCTGCCTAGACCTAGCTCCATCTGAGCTTTCTGTCTACAAAGGAAGGTCCCAGCTAGCACTAGGGCAGCTTTCTTTCTGAACAGAAAGCTTAGGCGGAGCTAAGCCTAAGTAAGCTACAAAGCCTTGAAGCTTAGGTACTTTTCCCAGGTGAGCCACATTTAAGTGTTTGTAGGTGTCTGTCAGGTGGAACTACCAGCGTGGAGAATAATGGGATTTGTACTCCAAAAATCCAAATGGCACATGGCTAGAACCCTATTGTGGTAGGGCTAGTCCAAAAGCAGAATCTGTGTCGATCCTACAGTCCAACAACCTCAGATTACATTGAAAGCTATAATTAAAGAATTTCCATTGCAGTTTGTTAAATATAGTACCAAACCATGTGCTCTTTTTACTATTTTAAATGAGAATTCTATACTCTGCCTACACACAGTACAGTGGAAATTTGTTTGTTGTTAAGATCTTGGGACTTGATCCAGATCTTGCTCAGGTACCTGAACTCACATGCAGGGGCATACACACAAGTGTGGTATATGCTCTGATAGCAGAGTAGCAGAAGCATTCAGGGCTAACCCAAGACACTGCCTTCTGAGGCATAGGATAAGACGGCACCCTGCTCCATTCCATGTACCAAAACGGACTCGATTTTTGCAGTTAAACATTACTTCAGCATTTGGCAATGGGGTATAGTTCTCTATCACCTGAGGACAGTGATAGGGGTGCAGGATAGGGTGCATGGTACACACAGCTCTGTCTTCTAAGGTAGGGAAAGGCTAAGGGGCTCAGGAGGTAGTTATAGACCAATCACTTTTTCCTCCAAGATCTGACACTTGAGGCAGTTGCCTTTCCCTGCCTAATGGTAAGATGTGACCTGAAAGCATTCAAAAGTGTGCTGTGACTGTTTCTGATGGAACCACACATCTTTGTTAGATGCATTTCTCCCCCACCCCCAAAGCAGTTTCTTTCCTCCTTTAATGTTGTTAGAAAAAACCAATTGAGCTGAGTAGCGGCAATGTAAAGAGCTTCGTGGAAGAACTTGAGACCAAATGGAAGAAGAAATATGGTGTTTTCAGCACCCTTCCTCGGAATCCTCTTTGCCCAACTGAGCGGATCTTCTGGGCCACTGTTAGCCAGTGTCCACGTGAACAAGTAAGTGACTCTCCACTGCTCATCAGTGACTAATTCGTGTTTGTTTCCACTGCATATGGTGATGTGGCTGGAAAGCACTGCTGATTGAAATAGGAAATGTTTTGTTTAATACTTGAAGTGTAAAAGCAAATGAGTTTCTAGTAGAGTTTCCTCAGCCACCAAGCAGCTCAACAGAGTGGAAACTTTGGTTGCATGTTCCACTTCCTCCTCCTAGCAGAGAACTTGTGTTGATTGAGTGCATCTCAATTTGGAGCAAAACAAGAAGATAATGGTTTTCTATGTACACGATTTTGGCATCAAATCAGACATTAAGAGGAATGTATGTTCCCTATCTTCACCCTGTTTTCCCTACAACAATTGGATTTCTTCTAAGATAGATGCAGATAGCCTCTATTGGTGGTATTTTGTATTCTGGGTGCATAATCATAGCAGCAGCAGCCATGAACAACAGCAATAACATTTTAAATGATTGCTTACGTATTTGTCACAGTTCAAAGCAGGACCAGGCTCCTATGACATAAAGCCTATCAAGAGAACAGAATATGAAAACCAGCCACCATTCTGGATTGGTGCAAAAAGATTTGACCGGAAAGCACATCGCCTCTTTTTTGGAAATGCTGTGAGTAACACGTGTTACAGTAGAAATAGACAGAGCAGCACCAAGTATTCTTCCTCTTGCTTTCTCCCTTTAAACCTGTGACTTTTGTGACTCTGTCCAAGTAAGCCCAGAGGCTTCTGGTGGGGAGGTCCTGACTTCGATGGGGCAAACCTGGATTCAAAATTCTAGGTTCAGGCATGAAGGTTGCTAGGTCACCTTAGGGAAATCATTTATTTCTTGGGACCAACCCATCTTGCAAGGTTGTTCTCAGAACAAGAAGCATGTGCATAACTCCAGGCTGTTTGCAAACAAAATGCACAGATCACTGAAAGGTGTTCCAGGCAACGTGGTCGATATCAGCATCAGCCCTTCATGGTTTTGAGTTCATGCAAGTTACTTAAGAGGAGAGCAGTGAAATATAGCATTTCAAATGCCACACTAGGGGCATTTCTCTCCTGTTTTGTTGCTAGTAGCCCTCAAGGCAGATGAACATGATTAAAATAAAAATACTGTTCAGCCAGAATGAAAGGACCTCTAAAAGCCATGGTAAATGACCCAAATGAAAGTCAATAAAGAGCAGAAAAGTTATTTAAGAGGGTGTCACAAATGATGGCATAAGTGCTTAACAAACAAGAGAAATCAGGTCAGACTTTGTAAGGCACTTGCAGGGTAGCAGAGAAGGCAGGAAGCCAGTCTCCTCCTACCTCTCCCCTTCCATTTGCATCAGACCTTTTTGGCTGTGGAGGATGGGAGTTGCAACTCAACACATCTGGGGGGGCGCATGGAGTTGGAAAAGGCTGCTCTAAGCAGGAGCAGATTCCTCCCACCCACCCCTTAAACTTGCTTGGCAAGCATTTTCAGAAGGAAAAAAATAGAAGATGAAAAATGTCTTGATCAGATTATTAAAGTACTACAAAGTACAGCCCTCCAACTCAACAAATTCTGATTTACTCAGTGGTTGGAAATTACAGCAAGACTTTTACCCCAGCAGCTTATCTTTACACGGTAATTTAAAACTCGCTAGACATTGGAGAGCTTTTGTCCTGGTCTGTTTCAATGCTTTGGCATCAGCCTTTTTAAAAGGAAGATATTTACATATTTGACCAATGTTTTTGCTTCTGTCAGTCCAGTACAGAGGAAACTATGGAACATGTGCTGTTGTACTGTGAATTTTATCAGGATTCCTGCAATCTTCATTTCCCCAATTTTAAAACATTATTGAGACAGACCTGACAAATGTTATATCTCTCTCCTCCTCTCTGACTCCTCAAGTGAGATTCTACCAAGGTTACAAGATGTTGTGCTGTACTGTGTACGACAAGAGAACAGATGACTCTTGGTGCAATCAGATGGCAAGAAAGAATCAGATGGCAAGAAAGGGTTGTCATGCTGGGAACAATATTCCTTAAATGGACCCTTTGGTCCATTTGAAAATTGCTTCAGGCTGCCCCCCCCAAGAGTAGCTCTGCTGCTGCACCAAAAAAGGTCAAGCTTGGGCATGGATTGGGGTTGAGCTGGAACACTGTTACCTGTTTTGGTTAGATGCCTCTAGCTAAGCTAAGCTAAGAGTGGTCAATATGACCAGATAGGCGGGGTATGAATGAATGAATGAATGAATGAATGAATAAATAAATAAATAAATAAATAAATAAATAAGCAGTATAAGTGCATGAATTACCAAAGCAGAATAGCTTCAAGTCCCCCAGTTTAGTCCACTCCTTTTCTTCTCGTCAGTGGGCACTTTTTACGTCTCAATAACTTACTCTGAGACATTAATAGGAGAAAGAACAAAAATGATACATTTACTTACAGTGAACAGATAACAACAAAAATGGCAAACTACATTGCGCAGTGGGCCTCAACAGATTCACAACAGAACAATGAAAGGGAAAGAGTTCAGACCAGAGAGGCGGGGTTCTCTTTGAATCAGAGGCAGGAGGGAATGATTGGTTATTGCTGGATAGACTGACAGTCACCCCAGCCCAGAAAGGCTACTCCCAGATATACCTACTAGAGGCAGCATGTTAGGTTGCAAAAAACTCCACTAATTAGATTAGGAGTTAACCCTTGGTTAACTCCTAATCTAATTTTAGTTTGCTTTGGTTTGACTGTAAATACTGTATATTCTGTTGTTACGTTTTATTCTTGTACCTAACATGGCTGACCTATGGTCATAAGAATAAAGTTAAAATATTATTTAAAAGGGTGAGATTTTAAGTCCTTCAGAACTCTTCTTCAGGCATTGATAAAAAATAACACTGCAGGAGTCAACAGCTTATCTGGTTAATCGTTTTCATCCGGCGATAAAAGAATTACCTAATCTAGACTTTTGTTTGTGCATAAGGATTGCATAGCTACTTTGTATAATTGATTTTGTTTTATTTGGAAGAAGGAAGAAGGCAATCCTTTAGATGCCTAGATCCTGTTTATACTTGGAAATGTTAAAACCAACATTTTGCTTTGATCCTTGAAACAATGCAGTAGTCAGTGACACTTTATGTACTATCACAGTACGTTCTTTCTGTGGTTACCCCTAATCAGTACTCCAGCTACTCCATTCAGTAACATTTGTAGTTTCTGAACAGTTTTCCAAAACAGGCTCGCATATGACTAGTAGGTATAAAAGCACGTAAGTAAATTGTTAGTAGGCGTTTGTATTTAGAATGAAAACATAAGTAAATGGTTGGTGGTCATTTGTGTTTAGTATGAAAACATGGGGTTTTGTTTATATTTTTAGGCTTTCAGTGCACTTCGTTTCTCTTGGGTTTTTTTGGTCACCTATGACCAAGGCTGCTGGCCCAACATGTTTTGCTGCCTGAGGCAAAGGGGAAGGTGGTGCCTCCTCTCACTTCATGTATAGATGTGAAATGAATTGGCAATGGAAATGTATGTCAGCACTGCCCTCGGAATATTGTCCTCAAGTACACCTCAACAGCGGGCTAGTTTGTTTTTAGCAACAAAAGTATTTATTTGTCCAGCGCCAATTTTTCAACTTTTTTGAGGGTGTGCTCAGATGGCAATAAAGGATATTTTCTGATCACACTGGAAAGGATCACTTCCCTAGGAGTCATCTCTTCCAAAGCAACCCCTCTGAGCATACAGAAATCACTGCCAGTCCAGCTGGTATTTCATCCATTATTTCATTTTGTTTCCGTATGTCTGACAAAGTGGACTTTTTGACAAAAGGTCACATTAAAATCTAATAGTTAGTCTTTAAGGTGCCACATGTTTTGTCTTTTGTTTCTCTGGATTTTGCCTACTATACTTGCATAGACTAACACGGCTACCTCCCATTTTGTTTCCAAACGTCTGATGAAGTGGACTTTTCGACAAAAGGTCACATTAAAATCAAATAGTTAGTCTTTAAGCTGCTACATGTTTTGTCTTGTTTTGTTTTGTTTCTGGATTTTGCCTAATATATTGTACTTGCATAGACTAACATGGCTACCTCTTCTAAAACTCCCAAAAGGAGTAGCCTTGCCACTGGACCAAACTGAAGGGCACGGAGCGGGGTCAGGCTGGTTCATGATTTCCTGAATATCATCTGATAACTAGAAAATAGATCACACCACATTGTGCCACAAGAGGTGCAAAACATGAGCTATATCTCTGATCACATCCTGAAAGGCCATCGTTGGTTTCGAGGGTAGAGGACAGGCCATTGGGTACCTCTATACATAGCTCTTTGCCACAAGAAAGAGGAACAGGTTGATGAAGGGCTGCTGCTACCGCCCCAGCACTTGCCACACGAGGCAGCTGCCTTCTTCTGTCTAATGGTAGGGCCATCTCTGCATATGATGCATCACTATAATTCCAGCCTAGATGTTACTAAAGCATGGAAAATGCTGATTAAATAAAAATTGGTCAACACGGGGGCAGGGAGCTATTTCTTCACATAAATAGTGTTCTGCAGGGGGAAGAAACTCAGGCATGGCGCAAGCTCTTTTGCTGTCCGAAGGAAAGTGCCACCCTCCATGCTGTCACTCCACCCACCTGTTCTGGCAATAAATACACTTTCCTGATCCAGCTGGAAGAGGAGGGGCAGCATTCTCTCCTGAGAAGTAATCAGAAGAGGCCTTCTCCCCTCGTCCCTTTAATTTTTTCTTTCTTCCTGCCCCTCAGGTCTTCTTTCTCTCCATCAAGGAAACCTGTTTTCAGCTCCTCATGACCTCAGTGACCTCTGTTGCTGCTCTGGAGATAAGTGCTATAGGACTGGGGTCATGATGTAGCAAACATGTTAACTTTTATGGTTCCTTGATGAGTGATGCTGTATACAAAATGCTTTGGGTTTTTTTCCTCTCTCTCTCTCTCCTTTTTTTAGTTAGCAGCTTCTGTTGCTGCTTTGACAAGAGGTGTGTGCATGTGGGATGTCTGAATGGATGCTTATTCAGGTGGAGAAGAATTTTTTTTGCAGAAAGCTTTCCAGTTCACTGCCATGCACATTTCAACTTTACTCTTCATTACAATGTTTCCAATGAGTGGACCTTACTCTCTGCAACAACCCACTGCCAATCTACAATTTAATTTTAACAGATTTCTTTAGAGTACTGCTTACTTTAGCAGTGTCTTCAAGTGCTATGGCCATTAGGATCCCAGGTTAAAATACACTGAGGCATCAAACAATAACACTTCCAGATCACTGCCTTTTCGGGACTATAGACAGCACACACAAAGTGATGCACAGAAAATACTGCATGGACACATTGCATTGGCCACGCAGTCTTGTACCCAGTAGGGAGCAGACCTCATCTGGCACCCAATATTTTAGCCACAATCCTGTAAGGCCTCCTTGGGGCCCAAATGGGGCCTCCCAGCATCTCTGCCCCTCCCTGCAATTCCATACACACCTCAGATTTTTTTAAAAAAAGACTTTGTCTCAAACAGCCATTTGTATTTTTAGGGAGTATGAGGGGCATCTGTTTTATGTTCAAGGATTCTTCAGTATCCCCTTGGCAAGCCATTTTTAAAATTAGCCAATAGAGGGGAGAGGGGGCTTTCCCCCGGAGGGGAGCAAACATCTTTGCTTTTGTATGTATTTTTTGAAAGTAGTTGTGGGAGTAAGTATCCCCCCCTCCCCAAGGCCCAAGTGACAGGTGTGCATGGTCCCCTGGACTCTGGTTATAGACGAGGACTGCAGTCTTCTATGCACATGCTTGCTGGCAGGAGGAGGTGTACATGCATTGGTATTGCTATTCTCAGTTCCTTGCCTTCAACAGGTGCAAGCGTACCTTACCTTGGATGGAGGGGACCCTTTTAAGTACAGCAGTTCTGAACGAGGATGTGTTGCAATCTTTTTGCCGATCGGCTGAAATCTCTTTTAGTAATGATCTGCCAAAGGGACGGCTCTGGCACTGTTCCTCCTTCTCCTTGTGGCCTTTCTTGTATCATCTGCATTCATCTTTTCTGGGTTCCTGTGGTGAACTGGAACAAAGCTGGAAAGACTCTAACAGTTAGGGAAAGCTTGCCTTTGAAAGAGTTCACTTCCACTTAGGCAACAGGTAAGGACTCCCAGGTAGTTTTTTTTCCTTGATGCTAGAAAGCAGGGAACTTAAAAGAGGTCAAGAATGAAGGCTCTTTTATAATTGATGGGGAACTTCACTGGTGGTGATTAAGTGTCACTTATAATAGGGCTAGAGTTAAACTTATCTGCAGGCAGCTGGCTTGAGACTGCATCGCAAGAGGAGGAATGAATCATTTTGACTGCAAGGCAGTGTGCTGGCCACTGTTGGCTATAAATAGGCCTACTCCAGAGCCAGAGACCTTTCCACTGGTTCAAATCAAAGGGGTTAAAATCAAAGCCTGCATAAGCTACTTTTTTTGGGACTACAACTCCCAGAATTGTCCAGTCAAATTCACCATCAGAATGCAACTTTTTCAAGCTTAAATGACCAGACCTGCTAAAGTATGTGATAGCACTCAAATAGCTCTGGAGTCAAACCAATGCTTTACCAATATCTTATCATTAGGGGAAAAAAAGGAATTCCTTAACACTTGAAAAGTCTAATTGTCACAGCAGGAAGTTTTCACACTTCCCATAGTTTATAAATTAGCCTGCTTTGTTTTCTGGTTGGTCACTGGCAGTTAAGCACAGACTTACTGTAATTTGCAAGAAAGGTTTGCTCAGTCACAAAGGTCCGTCTGAATCCCTTTGTTGAAACACAGAATGGATTTCAGCTCCTAATGAGGGACTCTGTAATATATAGTCTTGTCTTGGTTGTCAAGGGCCTATAGATTATGCTCCCACAGCATTCCACAGCATTGCATACAAACATTCCACGTGGGCAGTTGGTAATCACAGCAAGCTCCATCTGTTTTGTTGCTCTTAGTGCTCCATGTAAAGCAGACAGGAAGGTGCTGAGCAATGCTTTTACTCTCTTGCTGCTGCAGCAGCAGTTTCTATTGTAAAACTTGGGACGAGACAAAGCCACTCAGAGACCATGCCCTTCATACAAAAGGTCACTGGTTTTCCCTGGAAGGTGGGCACAGGATTCAATCGGAAACCTTGGAGAGGCGCTGTCAGTCCGTGCAGCCTATAATTGACTTATTTACAGAAACGGGGAATGTTACTTGACAGGCTACGGCTCTTGGAATCCTCCAGCCACCCTGGTCACTTTCTTGTATTCCAAAACAAGGTAACGATTCCACTCCCTGCCGAGTTGGACTAATAGCCTGGTTCGAAATAAAATACTTCCAAACCCCCATAGAGGACACAGAGTGGGGAGAGGGCTTTGGTTAAGCCTGAAGTGGCCGAAATGTGCCTTTTGGACTGCATATACTATGCCAGAGACCCCAGTGAGGCCCCTGGTCCTCTGACACACACACCCCAAAAGTGTTGGCATAGAAACAAGTAATCCAGCCCACAAGTGGAACTGGAATTGTCATCAGTCAGCACACGTTTGGGCTAAAGGAAAGGGTAGCCTGCCACTGTATCGGGTGTTTAAAATTATTTGGAGGCCATAATTTAGAGGCAGAGTACCTTCTTTAAAATAATGTTACATATATCTGATCACTATTTCTCTTTTTGATAGAAAATCTGTGTATGTGGTGGAAGGTAGAGGACAAGTAATACAAATGTAATGTTCAGGTCTGAGGACCGTCCTGTGTTTGTATGTAGCCTCTTATAAATTTGCTCTGATTCTTGCCACCTGAAATGTCTTCTTGAAATCTGTAGGAACCAAGACAGCTTCCATAGACTTATTCTATCCAGCAGCTTCCAGGGCTAGTAGAATAATACTGGTGTGGTATCATTTTCATCCCACTAGGGCTATATAATGTCCATCTCAAGACTAGCACTGGTGCATGACATATTCAAGTCAAGAAGTCTCATCCAACAATGTGAGAGACATGCACTGTGGGAATATGTTTGCTATACTTGCTGCTAAACTTTGCATTTGTAAAACTGTGTATCAGTTATGTAGCACACACACACACACACGCTTGCTTTGTGCTTCCTTATCTGTAAAGGTATATCACGCATGCGCCTCACAGTTTCAAGTCAAGAAGTCTTTTCCAACAATGTGAGAGACATGCACATGTGCACTCATCACTATTAATTAAAAATCATCATCTGTTGATTCCAACTTATAGTGGCCTCCCTGGGTTTTCTATGTATAAAGTACTCAGAAGTGTTTCCCAGTCCATCTTTGGGTGGCATTTTGGAAGCATTGAGCTTGTGTAAGGCTGCATAGGTTGTGGGCTCTGGGGGATCTCCACTGGCTCCCATCTTGGGAGACGCAGCTGGAATTCAAACTCTGTGTAGCCATAGAGAAACTGCGGGTGAGTCCAGTTAATCTTTCTTAAGATTCTGTAGCTTTGCCTCTTAAAACACATGCATTAGTCCTGGTGTTCTTACTCTTTCATCGACCTATATGGCAGCTGGACTGCTATAATGCACATGTGCACTTATCACTATTAATTAAAAATCATCATCTGTTAATTCCAACTTATAGTGGCCTCCCTGGGTTTTCTATGTATAAAGTACTCAGAAGTGTTTCCCAGTCCATCTTTGGGTGGCATTTTGGAAGCATTGAGCTTGTGTAAGGCTGCATAGGTTGTGGGCTCTGGGGGATCTCCACTGGCTCCCATCTTGGGAGACGCAGCTGGAATTCAAACTCTGTGTAGCCATAGAGAAACTGCGGGTGAGTCCAGTTAATCTTTCTTAAGATTCTGTAGGAATCAGATGCGTTCAAAGATTTACAGATCTACTTGTCAGCATTAACATCCAAAGCAGCTTCTTGTCTACTCTTTTGCTTACAGAACCCAGTTGGAGTTGGGCGCTACGACACCACAAAACATGAGAAGTACCCAAAGAAAATCAAGTATAGTTCACTTTATATGAATGAAGCACAGCGTTACCTTAGTAACCTTGAACGAGACAAGTGCTTACAGTAAGTGAACAGTGAAAAACATACAGAGGAGATTAGTGGCTCTTTGCAACTCGCAGCATTCTACACGGACTTGAAAATTTGATTGAACCAGTTCATCAGATTTTTAAAATGTGCACACTTTGCTTGATTTATATCTTTATGCTGCATTTCGATACAACATACAGTAGTTTTAAGCAGAATTTGGAAATTTATTTTAAAGGAACTTCTAGTCATATTTGTATGTCTACCAATTAACAAATGTTCCTTGGGCATATTACAAAATCAATATTTTTATACTACAGTAGGACTCCTATATCCACTAGTGATTGGTTCCAAGCCCCCCTGTGGATACTTAAAACAGTGGATAATAGCAAATGCTATAGCATGGTAAAAGGGGGAAAGAGAGAGAAAATATATTTTCACACATATTACCAGAACTGGCCACAAGAAGGTGGCAGAAACCATACTATGTAGTCTTCACCAAGAAGTGTTCATCGCACAGTACCATGGATACATGTGAAAATATTTTTTTCTGGATTTCAGTCTTCACCAAGAAGTGTTCATAGCACAGTACCATGGATACATGTGAAAATAATTTTCTCTGGATTTTTTTTCTTTTAATATTTTCAGACCATGGATAAGTGAATCAGTGGATCCTGATTCCATGAATAAAGGGACCAGACTCTACAAGACAATACTAAAACATACTGTTTTTAAAATGCCGTAGTGTAAGGAACTGAATTCATGACAGTAGTGAATAACAAGGACTTAAGGCAGAAGTGTTCTGAATGAAGCAAGTTTGGAGGAACCATATGGCAGTTCTTAGTTTCTTTTTTATATGTACATGCATACAAACATATCACCACTGTACATCATTAAATAAGGCACTGCAAAAATCTTGATATGATCATGAGGATATTACATCATTTTTTGTGCTGTGCTTTTTAACATATTCATACACTCTCACGCATTAGCAAAACCCCATAACAGAAGTGTTTATGGATTCGTATGTCCGTTTGCAGCCTCTTATCTATGCAGATTTACCCAGATAACAAGAAGGAATGAATGAGAGCTGCAGCAAACTGTGCTCCACAAAATTTTCAAAATGAACAGAACAGCAGACAGTTTCTGACTAAGAGTTCTTGCTGCCTTGGGTCTTTTTAAGGAGAAACATAGGGTATAAATATTTTAAATAAATACTAACAGTGGTGCCCCGCATAGCAAGGTTAATCCGTTCCGGATTAACCGTCACTATGAGGAAACATCGCTATACGGAAAGTAAAAACCCATTGGAACGCATTAAACTTCGTTTAATGTGTTCCAGTGGGGCCCAAACTCACAGTTCAGCGAAGTTTCTCCATAATGCTGCCATTTTCGTGCCCTCAGTAAGCGAGGGCAGGGTGCGAAAATGCTGCGCGCGGCCATTTTGGGTGTCCGGCGGCCATTTTGGAACTGCCGATCAGCTGTTTTTTAAAAATCGCTATGCGAAAATCGGTAAGCGAAACTCTTACCGATCGTCGCAAAGCGATTTTTGTCCATTGGAAACATCGCTATGCAGATTCATTGTTAAACGGTGAGCTCGTTATGCAAGGTACCACTAAAATGAATTCTGCCTCTGAAAGTTCAGCTAATGCAGAGAAATTCAGCTGAGAACTTTAGAAGCATCGGTAGTTACTCAGGAATCCATAGGAAAATGGGGAAAATATTCAGGGTCTTGCAGTGTAACACCAGCTATTTCATGATCAAATTTCTAGGAGGAAATAGAGTATAGAAAGGACTTGGCTCCTTTTTGTTTCATAAAAATAGTACATGTGTGTTGAAGAACACTGAAATGTTCTCAGAATTCCATCTGTAAGCATCACCTATCAGAAAATGAAAATCTAGGTTACAAGTAGGCAAAAGAAAGAGATAAATCATGAGAGGATGGTTCAGTGCCATACATTTTCCATACTGTACTTGTAACTTGGCTTTGATGATCAGTGTGATCAACCAAGGCCAAATATGGTGCAAATCTCTTTTATGAAACTGATAGCTTGCCTACGGACAGATGTGTAGAACTTGTATATCTGCAGGTTTTGTTGGAGTGCAATGTGCGCCTGGGGTGAACACATGAACCTTATCCCTGTCCTAAGATGGGTCATACCATTTTGTCAATTCTCATACATTGAATGTGTTTCAACCCTAAACACTATAGCCAGTGCTGAGGGATGATGGGAATCACAGTCCAACAACACTGCGCCTGGGGTGAACACATGAACCCTATCCCTGTCCTAAGATGGTTCATACCATTTTGTCAATTCTCATACATTGGTTCTGAGGCTAAACTGCAACTCTGAAGTCCTTAGACAAGAAAAGGAATGCACACACACTGTACACACTGTACCTGACTACTCTTCTCCACCTCATGTCCGTTTCCCCCCAGAGAACGTATCACTCCTGTTACCAAAGGTCACTGGGATAATCCAGCATCTGCTTAAACAGTCATCGCTCTTTCTGAACATTTAAGTGACCAAGTATCAATGGCACGCCTAATTAATTTCACGGGAAGTTCTGCCAACAAAGCTGTATAAAATCAAGAGAACATCTAGACTTTTGCTGCATCGCTATCTCACACTGATTCTGTAATTATGTATCTCTTTATAATGTATGCCATTCTTTAAAAAGAAAATCAAGACATTTGATGGAATTTGGTAAATGCATGTTTCTTATTCCAACCAGTCTGTTGCCATGTAAGTATGTGAGTATTAAAATTGATAGATGCAGAAACTGATAATGCTTCCTTTCAGTGTAACCATCACACCCATTCAAAGTGGCCTCTTTCACAGTGTGGAAAATTTGAGTCCCTGTTCCTTCTTATTGGTAGGGGTCCATCAGGGATTTTAACCATTATGATAAGCACTGATCCAAGGGTGTAGCAGCGGCAGGGGGAAGAGCTGCAAAAATTATAGCAGGGAACTCTGAAGGCATTCAGGATATTCACAAACGACAGGCAGGTACAAAGCTCATGCAAATGTTCAGCGAGATAATCATGCCTATAAAGTAGATGGAGGAAAACAGCACCCTTAAGAATAGCCACTGCCAAAACTTTTATTTTTCTTTTTCTTTCTAGCTCTTTCAGGGAGGTGCCTCTTTTTGATTGACTTTTATGCATCTTTCATTAAACATGAAAGGGATTGCTTCTTTCCTACCGTTTCAATTTAATTTTTCTCTATTTGTGTTTTTGGCACCAGTCCAGAAATGTCCTAAAGCAGAGGTCCCCAACCCCTGGTCCGCGGTCTGGTTCCGGACCGTGGCCTGAGCTGGACTGGGCTGCCAAGACAGACCTCCTGCCCCACACCTTGCATGCACTCACCCCCGCACAGCCTGTTTGTGCCTGCGCACATGCTCCAGCACGCCGGTGCGAGTGCTGCATCGCTGTTTGCACAGGTGCATGAGCACAAGCACACCCAGACAAGCGCTGCACCAGTTTGCGCATGAGCACCCATGCACCCATGCAAGAGTGCACACTTGTTCGCAGATGCGCATGCGTGCGGAGGGTGCCCCACCTTCACCAGCCGGTCCGCGGACCGAAGACGGTTGGGAACTGCTGCCCTAAAAAAAACATAAATACTAAACCAAAAAAGCAAAGGGATGACAACACAGGATGAATCTACTCCCAAAGCAAGCAACCGTACAACCACCCTCTATCTAAAAAGAATTTTTTTTAAAAAGCCTTAAAGAACCCATGAAAATAATCTCTGCAGCCTCAAACAGCTAAACTCCAATGCCTCTGAGCAAAAGGGGAGTCCAGAAACTGTTTTTCCAAGCCAGTCCTACTTTGGTACTTTTCATTTCTGTTCCCCCAAAAAACTTTCAGTAGGTGTTATCTGATAAGAGACCACATCCATGCTTATGAGGAAGTCCCCCAGGTGAGCAGTGGCAAACTCACAACTGCCACCACACAACCACCATACCCTCAGGTACCTACTGTATCCTTCCTGCAGGTTCGTTTGGTTGATTGTGCTGTGTTCTTGCTTTTTCCTTTTTTGTACTGTTCATGGGGTCCTACCATAAAGCATCTTATTTGCCTCTCCTCTCTGTGGAACGTTGGTGCTGAGGTGGTCACAGGCAGGTAGGCATGCCAGGTGCCACAGGGTGTGGAAAGAGCTGGGTTCTCACTCTGGCCACCAGCAGCACTCATCAGCATGCAAGGCAATGCTGATGAAAGGAAGCAAAACCCCAAGCCAGCTGGCGATGGGTAGACAATGACTAGCAGAAATAAGAGGCTCCAGTGAAACAAAAAGCACTCCCGTTGGGATTCAACCCATCCAGGCCCCTTTTAGAGATTCAAAATGTCCATTCTCCCTTGATAGTTTCATTGACTTCTTGTGTAACTATTTGAAGAAATTTTCTAGGTGATTTGACAGACAAGGAATGCAAGACTATCTTCCTGACCAGCCTCTCTGGAATGGGATTGGGAGTACTGTTTTACGGTGGCCATATCTCCCATCATGAGCCAGTTTGGGTGTTAAAATCATCAGGAGAGGCCTTTCTCTCAGTCCCACCACCTTCACAGGTGTGTCTGATGAAGACATGGGAGAGGGCCCTTCTCTAGTGCTGCTCCCAGACTCTGGAACTTCCTCCCACAGGAGGCCAGGCTGGCCCCATCTTGGCTGTCTTTCTGGAAGCAGACCAAGACTTTTCTTTTCAGACAAGCCTTCCCTCAGTAACTCGCTGTTGTGATTTTTAGATGGATTGGTATGTATGACTGCTTTGACTGGATTTTTAGTACTGTACCTATGTATGACTGCTTTGACTGGATTTTAGTACTGCACTAGTTGTTTTCCATTTCTCAGAGTGGCACTTGGTTTTTTAAAAAATATTTGTATACTCATTGGTGTTAGCTTTAAACACTTTTAGTGAAATTAACCACTGTTGTATACTCATTGTTTTAACTTAGCTTTAAACACTATCTTTTAGTGAAATTAACCACTCTTGTATACTTATTGTTTTAAACTTCAAATATTTTCTTCCAATTTTGTAAGCTACCTTGGGTCCTTTCCAAGGAGAACGGCAGGGTACAAATATTTCAAATGAACAAACAAAAGAGGGCCACAAAGAATGTATTGTTGTGTCCTTCTCTTTTCTTAACATGAAGTGTCTGTGCGCAAGAGCCTCTTTTTCAGCAAAAGAACTTGACAACAAAAGCAAGAGCCTCTTTCATTTATTTATTTGAATTATATACCACCCTATTAGTGCAAGCACTACTCTGGGCAGTTTACAGGTTAAAACTTAAAACCCCCACAAAATACAATGTATTTTTTAAAATTTGTGGTAACAAAAATCCCATCCCTACACATGGATGTTCTGGGCTGTCAAGTTGCATCTGATTTATAGCAATCTTAACAGAACATTCCAGGGATGTGAGATATTTATGGAGTGGTTTTAACACTAGTACTGCCCGGTGGGTTTCCACAGCTGAGCAGGGATCTGAACCTGTTTCCTGAGGCCTAGTTTGTCACTCTATCCACTACACCACACTGCCTTAATAACATATTCTCGCTCAAATCAATATATTCTAACTCCTGAAGACCCTCCAGGAGCCACAATTCACTCTTTGAACATGCTGCAGGGCCCCGTGTACTATTTAAACCCCCAAATGCCAATTTTAAAAAACTGGTAGGGGATTCCAGTCATTTTAGATTTAGGGTTTTTTCCCCCCCTCTCCTCTGGGGACACTTTTGGCGCTCTGTGTGGCTCCCAGAAGGTAGAAAACTGGCCCCAGATCCAGCAAAGTGCCCACCAATGCTAAGAAAATCAGAGGAATTAATATAGACATCATGCTCCTCATCATGATTCTCAGCTTGTGAGCAAGAATAAAGCTGCAAAGGAACCACCAAGGCAGGCCTGTGCTCCTTCACTAATGCCAGTGCAGACATCCGGTTTACATCATGCTTGTGAACAACCCCAGTGTATGCAATTTGCACAACTTAACGTAACAGTATCTTTGACTTTTGATTGTCTCCTGGTTCTAATAATTCAGGGGCTTCTTCATGGCAAAGCAGGAGGCAAGAAAAATATGCAGTATCCATGAACACAAATCATTCTGGTTCTTTGAAGTCGTTTGTGGGAGGTTAAGCCTCAATGAAATATTTTGCCTGTCTTTCTAGTTCCTTCTACAAAAGACACTGGTTCTTTTCTTTTTTGCAAACTTTCTTGTGACCAAGCATTTCATACTTTCTTTTAGTCAATGCATTTAACAATTTTTGACTAGGCTGCTCATAATTTTATGTTGCCCATCTCCTGTTACCCAGATGAAATAGTGGCAACAGGTCCCTCTGTAGTAACTTACAACATTGTAAGCATGTAAGACTTCCAATGGGCTAAGGAAGGCATGGATTTTTTTTTAAAAAAAAAGGTAATGCAAGTAAACACATTTGAAAAATATGTAGAACATGCTCACTGGATTCTTTGAAAAGAAATATCTGCTATGCCTGCACTGTTAACTGTCCTACATCTTTCTAATATGGATTATCTAGAGTGTTCTGGTGGCAGATCTAAGACATGGACCTGGTATGTGTTGTGTTAAAATCCACTGACTTATGGTATCAGATGTATGGTTAAAAGAAAGACCTCCCAACAGGATTTTATTCAGTCACAACAAAATAGCATTTTATAACAACTCACATTCTGCTCAAGCACACCAGCACAAAACAAATGACAATTGCAAGGGAAAAAATATGGTTGCTGATGGCATTGGATTAGAACCTGTGAGTGAGCAGGGTCATTTCATTACAGCAGCAGTAATAGATAAAAACTTATTAACAGCTACAATCTGTGATGGGAAAAACTACCATGCATCACACAAAGAAAAGACATGTTCTGAGGACCAGACACTGGTCTATAGAACTAATTATCGTACAGAAAATTGGCAAGTACGGAGTAGCTTGCATCTCTTGGTTTGTCTCTCGTTTCATCTTATGCCAAGTCAGGATCGGCCCAAGTATTAGGTAGAGTGAGGCAACAGATTCAGACAACAGACTTTGGGGGTGTGAGCCACTAGCATTTAGATAGGATATCCTGCAGGGTGTAGCTTTCAGATGAGACATCCTGCAGGGTGTAGCCATTTGTTCTTAGCACTCCAAGCATTCAACACTCTTGCAGAACAGAGCTTTGTCTACTGCCTTAGGGTCTGACTGCACAGCAAGGGAAATGCGACCACACCCTCTATCAGATAAAAACATCAGTTGGAAATTGTAAATAAATCCCTCAAAGAGCTGCTTGGATCTTTCCATATCATCTGTCTCATCAAGCCAAACGTTTCTCCGGGCAGTCACATAAATAAAAAAGCATGTTAGAATTTCTAATTATGCCTTCAACTGGTCTTTGGATAAAATTTTGGTTAAACTTGGTATAATTAAAAAAAACACACCTAAATAGACACTGGAACCTTAGTTAGGATGCAAAGAGGCTATTCGTTTTCATTATGTGAGAGTGAAAAGTGAACATCCTAGCCAAAGTTGACCTATTGCTATAATATTAAATTATCAGAAAGCATTTTTGTAGGATGCATTGGTGGCCCATCCTGGCCTGAGGCAACAGAATCCCTTAATTAACTCTTAATGTCAGTAACATTTATTAATCTGAGAAAGAAAGCAGGCACACTTTAACATTTTAAAGTCTAGTAGGAATTGGCAGGAAAGAAGCAGTATCTCGTTCCCTCCCATGTTGCTTGCTTGTGAGTTTGGGTTATGAAGAAATTTGGATTTCTAAGCCTAATTGTACATGTAACTTACCTGGGTGTACGGCCTACCAAGCTGTGTTTGATGAGTGAGTTTTTAAAATACAGTATCAGGCTGCATAATACAAAGTCTAAGTTCCTTTTCATCTAAACATGAGCATGTGTTAGGCCAGTAAATATCCTGGTTCTCTCTCAATACACTGACACCAAGTATTTCTGCCAGCTATTACACTCTTGAAATCTGGATGGCCAAAAAGGTTTCTTACAGCTAGTTTAAGGCACTAAAAAAAACCTTACTAAAAACAGACCCATGACAAATACTGTTCTCTGAAAGGTATCATTTAACAATAGTAGAAATTCTGGAAGAAAAATGCTATCTTTCAAATGCTGTTTGCTCTATATAATCTACCACAGAAAATTTTGTTTACTTACACATTACATGAGCAAAGTAAATATAAAACAGGAAGGCCCCAAATCAAACATATAAGTAGCACTTCACTCTTTGAGTCAGCGGCAATCCTTTCCATGTACTAATAAAAATAAGACAAGTGTAGTATTTCTGATAAGCACATTATAAACCCGTTAATCCAGCATCTGTACCCGTGATACAGATCATTCTGGCCCATTCTATGACTTATAACAGAAACACTGAGATTAAAAAGTAGCACAGGAACACACACACACAACACACAAAAAGAACCCGTCAGAAGTGTATGCTAAGAGTCCTGGGAAACTGTGATTAATGGGGGGCGGGGGAAACAGTTGCTTTTAATAATAGGAAAGAAAAATACATAAATTCCCTCCTGCCACAGTGCGCACCAGCAACTGTCTTTCCCTGAAGCAAAAGAACCATGAAAGGAAAATATAAATAAAAATTTTAAAAGGGGAGGGAAGGCATGAAGTAGGATTTTACACTGGTTCAAACTGCCTCTAAGCTATTGTTTTCCACAGTGTTCACACAGGTTTGTAACTCTGAGTCTCAGGCAAGTATAGGCAGTTTGTGTTCCTCCAAATGTTGGACTGAAACTCTCTGCAAACAACCAGCATCCCCAGTGGTTAGGAACGCTGTGAGTTGTAGTCCAGCTGCATCTGGAAGGCCGAACGTCTAATGCATGTTTAGTTTAATTATGTACATGGGAATCCTGGGGAAGATTAGTGATATGGTATAGGCAACTGTGACATTTGAAAGGCAGTCTCCTTTGGCAGTCTTATTTGGCACTCCACTCACACAGAGGCTGTGGTTTAGAGAATAGGATGCCATCCACCTACATTTGCAGTAATACATCTCCATAAAACTTCCCCTGACAGTTCCTGGTTGCAGTGCAGTTCTCCTTCTTTCTAAAAAGTCACTCTTCTACTTCGGGATTCTGATATCTCCATTCCTCTTCTACAGGATACCACTAAAAAATATACAGACTGATAGCTAAGCTAAACTGCCAAGATTAAAAACGGCAATCCTAAAAAAGCGATTCTTTTTAAAAAAGAAATTACCAGCCATATTTTCACACAAAGGCAGGGGTACCTACTCTCAAATCACAGATATACTTCAGGTCTTTGGAACGGCAACAACATGGTTTTGTTAAGGGCAGAGCTATTAGTAATTCTTATATCCAACTTCTCCTGATTGCTCGTTTAGTTATGTTGGATTTAATGTCTTGCGGCTTTGCAGATTTTATCATAAACCTCTGGAAAAGCGTTATTACAGTGAAGTTGCTTCCTCAGCTTGTGGTACAGGGAGCCATCAAACATTTCCCAAAATTCCTCACGGGTCATATAGCAATCTGCATACAACATCTGGAAACTGAAAGAAATGAGAAAAAAGTTCTCAGGATTGTTACAACAGAAATTTATGTCAACTCTTTTCTGCTTCGTTAAACAAAGTGCTTTGACTGAAAAAAACACACACACCCTTCATTCAGATTTTGTCCTGGTAGACAAATCCTCTGAGCACATTCTCGTACAAAGTCTGGAAAAGAATTGGTCTGCAACTCCAGAAATTTGGACTATGGCATATTTAGCAACCCACAATGTTGACTGGAGGATTTCTGGGAGATATAATAAAAAAACCCAGAATCTCCAGAACTACAATCTCAGAAATGAATATCTAGTTGAGAAAAACAGATGTGTGTGAGGAGAATTACAGAGCAGTTTCCCTCCTCCAGCAAGATCTCTATCAATTACAGTGGTGCCCCGCATAACGAGTGATTCGTTTAACAATGAATCCGCATCGCGATGAGGTTTTGGCGATCACATAATGATGTTTTCAATGGCAAAACATTGCTTTGCGATGATCGGTAAGCGTTTCGCTTACTGATTATCGCATAACGATGTTTTAAAAACAGCTGATTGGTGGTTCCAAAATGGCCGCCGGGGAAAAATGGCCACCCGCAGTGTTTTTGCACCCTTTCCTTGCTTACCGGGCAGCAAAAATGGCGGCCGCATGGAGGATTTCCGCAGAACGGTGAGTTTTTTGCCCATAGGAACACACTGAAGGGGTTTCAATGCGTTCCTATGGGCTTTTTTGCCCCGCATAGCGACAAATCCGTATAGCGACGATTTTTTGGGAATGGATTATCGTCGCTATGTGGGGCACCACTGTACAATGTTCCAGCCAGTGTGTCATTTTTTGCACAAAGGACAGCCTGTTCAGGAGAGGAGAGTTATCTGACTGCCCTTAAATGATTCTGTAATGTGGAAGGAAAAAGCTTCACAGGTACCTCAGACTGCTCAGCAGCCCAACAAGAAAAAGGTCCAGAAACAGTTTATGGAGCCTTGTGTGGTACACTGGTTAAACTACAGTACTGCAGCCAAAACTCTGCTCACGACCCGGATTCAATCCCAGGTGGCTCAAGGTTCACTCAGCCTTCCATCCAAAGTTGATAAATTGAATACACAGCTTGCTGGATGTGTAACACCTGAATATTTAAACTGAAAACTGCCCAGAGGGTGCTTCAAGCACTGTGGGGCCATATATAAGCAGCACCTTGCTTTTTATAACTACAGATGTTTCGATTCGAGAACTTCTACATTCAATAAAATAAAATAACTGGCAAAGATAAATGCAAGTTGGAAGTTGTGCAATATAAGAAAGTGAGCAAGCTAAAAAAGGCAACTACCCACAATTCCTCATTCCATCAGAAAGAAGCACTTTTCAGGACTTAGGCCCTTACCCGTGAACATTCCTTACAAACTTTTCTAGTTGTCTGGTGGAAGCCATGGCTTCAAAGTGTTTCGTTTTGGGCTCTCCATAAGCTCCAACATCTACATAGAGCTCTGCTTCATCTCCTTTGGGGTGAATCATGCCAGGGTTATTAGGTAATATGAAAGGGCACAGCCACAAAGGATAAACCTAGGGACAACAGATCACAAAAGAAAAAAATCACCATAATATTAATTTAGAACTGTAGCATGGAAGATGGGTTTTCAAACCTGCCACTTGTCCTACTTAACAGCTACTTGATACAAGGATAGTCATACCTTAATGTCACTGTGGAAAGTTTCAATACATTGCTCAAGGTGTTTCATGGGGATCATCATATCTTGCACCACATGATGCTGTTCATAAAGCTTTCGGATCGCTTCTCCTTGAGTCAGCTTCAAAAGGGAGATTTTAGGAGGAACCATCCAGCCAAACAGGTAGCGAAAAATAGGATTATTGCCAAAGGGAATGATATCCTGAAAGGACAAAAAAATGAAATTGTATGTTTCAAATCAGTTACTGCAGATTTTAAAAATCAATGAACATTATACAGACATATTTTTAAAGTGTACTAATTAGCATTATTATTATGTTTTGTATTAATAATAATGCTAATTAGTACACTTGAACCACATAGGTAAAGGTAAAAGGTAAAGGTTCCCCTTCACAATTTTTGTCCAGTTGTGTTCGACTCTAGGGGGCGGTGCTCATCCCCGTTTCCAAGCCATAGAGCCAGCATTTTGTCCGAAGACAATCTTCCGTGGCCACATGGCCAGTGTGACTTAGACACGGAATGCTGTTACCTTCCCACAGAGGTGGTCCCTATTAATCTACTCGCATTTGCATGCTTTCGAACCGCTAGGTTGGCGGGAGCTGGGACAAGTGACGGTTGCTCACTCTGTCGCATGGATTCGATCTTACGACTGCTTGGTCTTCTGACCCTGCAGGACAGGCTTCGGCGGTTTAGCCCACAGCGCCACCACGTCCCACCGAACCACATAGATTAAAGTGTAATAAACATGGTCATAATTAATTAATACGTAATTCCTTGTGCCATGGAAGTTTTCCATTTTCTAAGCCAGGAGCAGGTGTTTAGTGGCCCACATGAGGTCTCCAGCACCACTAGGACCCTCGTCCCCACCCCAGCCACAGAAGGTCTCTTGTAATATTTATTTATTTAACATATTTTTACCTCACCTTTCCCTCCAAAAGGACCCAAGGTGGCTTATTTAAGCAGCCATCAGAGGCAATGTGGTCCTCTTTTGAAAGCCCCAAAGCCTCTTCCTCCCAAGTTGTATTTTTTTTAAATGGCCACGATATAAGAGAGCATGTGATGACTTCTTTAATTTTAAAAAAGTACTATTTAAAAAAAAATTACTCTGAGAGTGTGTTGGGCCTTCAGAATTGGTAGATGTAGCCTGTGGAGGTTGCCTACCCCTACTCTAGGCTGATCGAACACTTTTGCCTAATGAGTTACAATCCTAAGTAAATTTTCACTAAACAGAGGCAAATTCTTCAATACATTCCCTCTGTTCATTCACATGTGAGGGAGCAACTACACTTTTGCAAGAGGATGTTAAAATACCTCACCAAACCACCAAGTACATTTTTAAAATAAGGTGGTCTTTTATTTTTTCTAGGAAAACACACAGACACAGCCTGTGAAGTGTGTGTGTATGGGGGTGTGTGAATTTGTGCACTGCTGACTAAAAAAAAAAAAAACAAAACCACAGCAGGAAATGAACTGGTTTCCTATGGGAATGTTATGCTTTGTCACTGGAGCATTGCTTTTCTCCGAGGCATTCCTCCTCCTCCTCCCAGTTTCCATGTGCCTGTGGTCTAAGCTAGTCAATGAGAAGACCACTTTGTGGTGCAGTCTTCTGGGACTTGAGGTAAAGAAAGATTGTGGATTGTGAGGGGATCCCCACAACATAGTAAAACAAAGCTCTTCTAATATCCAAGGAGTGAAGTACACGCTCAACATCTGATGTAGGATTGGGAAACTGAGTAGGCAACATAAGGGCTTGATTAACATGGAAATCAGAAACAACTTTAGGTAAGAAGGAGATGTCTGGATACAAGACAACCTTGTCTTTGAAAAATTGTAGGTAAGGTGAATCAGGCCGGAGAGCTGCCAATTCGCTTGCTATTCTTGGCAACCAAAAACAAAGTCTTGAATGATAGTAGCCGAATGTCAAACGAAGCCATTGGTTCAAATGGGTGGCGCATAAGCGAATGCAATACAACCTGGAGAGACCATTGGGGCACAGGAGGTTTTATGGGTGGTTGAATATGTGACAGACCTTTCAAAAAAAAAATTAAGAGTTGGGTGATTCTGAATCACGAGGTTGAAAGGAGACTATATAAACCTTTAGGGTGGATAGTGCTAAACCAGAGTCAAATAAATAGCACAAATATTGGAGTAAAGTGGAGAGGGATACCAGGAAAACTTGGAGATGTTTTGATTCGGCAAATTTCAGAAAATTCCTCCACTTGTACTTGTAAAGGAGGTTGGTAGATGGTTTCCTAGCCTTCTCTAGGACCTCTTTTATCAATGGGTGATCCTCCAGGCTGTCAGATGCAGCCTGGCTGTCAGATTCGAGATCTGGGTGGAAGATGTTGCCTGCATCCTGAGTGAGAAGATGCGGGAGGCGTTGTAACTTGAGGACATCGACTGCCATCATCATGAGGGTGGAAAACCAAGGCTGACAAGGCCACCACGGTGCAATAAAGATTGCATCTGATCTCATCTGCCGAGCTCTGATCAGGGTTTTCTTGATGAGTGGGATTGGTGGAAAAAGGTACAGGAGGCTGGACCCCCAAGGGATCATGAAGGCATCCCCGAGTGAGTCCTCACCCTCTCCCGCACAGGAGGCATACTTGGTGCACTTCGTGTTGGCATGATTTGCAAACATGTCTATTATGGGATTTCCCCATCCGTTGCATAATAAGAGGAAGATCTATTTGTCCAATTTCCACTTGTGGGTCTGTCCAGTTAGGCGGCTCAGTCTGTCCGCTAACTCGTTGTCCGTTGTGGAGACATGGAGGGCCACTGGGAAAACCTGATCTTGATAGCACCACTCCCATAGATGCACTGAGAGGAATAGGAGGGACATGGAGCGTGTCCCCCCCTTGCTTGTTGATGTAGTACATGGTTGTGGTGTTGTCCGTGATCAGTTGTACACCACGACCTTGTATCGGGGAGGAATGCTCGGAATGCTTTTATGATCACTAGCATTTCCAGATGATTGATGTGCAGTCCTGTCTTGTGATGTGACCATAGAGCATGTATTTGATGGAGCCCGCAATGTGCACCCCACCCTGTGGGACTCACATCTGTTGTGACTTGAATTGTGAATTGCAAGGGGACGAAAAGGTTGACTGACCAAAAGATGTGGCGTAAACATCCACCAGCACAGCTGTTTCACAAGCTCCGGTGCGACAGGTAGGAGCTTCCTTGGATTGTCCTGAAGGGGGCTGAAGATAGTCAGGAAACACGCCTGAAGAGAACACATCTTCAGGCATGCATGCGTCAATGCAGATGTTGTGGGGGCCATGAGGCCGAGCAGATGTTGTGCATGCCGTGCCGAGACGCGTGTGCATGGCCGAAACTTGTGAAATGCTTTGTTGAGCTTTTTTATGTGGTCTGGTGGTAGAAATATTCGAGCACTTACAGAGTCCAGTCTCACTCCTATACAGCTGACCACCTGGGATGACTTTTTGAGGTTGACAGAGAGACCGAGGGTTGTCAGAGTGTGAAGAACAAACTTGGTGTCTCGAAGTGCCCTTCTTCTCGACAGGGACACCACCAACCAGTTGTCTATGTAAGTGCAGACTTGTATTCTGTGGAGATGAAGGTAGGCTGCTACTGGGACCATACACTTCATGAATGTTCATGGGGCCGTGGATAGCCCGAATGGAAGGGCATGGAACTGATAAATGGTGTTCTGGAAAATGAACCAAAGGTACTTTTTGTGATGTGGGTGAATGGTGACATGAAAGTAAGCATCTTTTAGGTCTATTACTACAAACCAGCCCTTTTTTCTCAGCAGGTGGATCATAGATTCCAGCGTGACCATTCGAAAGGATGAAGGTAAGTGTTCAACATTCTTAAATCTAGAATTGGTCTGATTCCACCGTCCTTTTTTGGTACTGCGAAGTAGCGGGAATAAAATCCGTTTGCTACATCCTGCATAGGCACTTGTTGAATGGCTTGTTTTTGTAGAAAGGCGAGAAACTCTTCTTGCAGAACTGGATCGAAGGATGTAAGCTTGACCTGTCCTAGAGGAGGAAATTCTGTAAATTCCAGATGGTAGCCGAATTGAATAATGCTTAAGACCCAAGAGTCTTTTGTGATGTTTAACCAGTTGTGAAGGAATGGTGATAGACGAGTTGCATGATCGTTTTCGAATGGTATTGTGTTGAAGTCAAAGATACAGTTTTGATTTCTTTGCTGGTGGTTTGTAGGATTGACGGTGTTGTGTGGATTGTGGTCGAAAAGTGGATGTAGAAGATGAAGCCTGGGAGGATCTGGCTTGATTCTGGTTTTTGAAAGAGCAGTAAGATTGGGAAGCTGACTGCTGGTATTGTTGTTGTGGGTACTGTTTACGCCACTGGAATTTATTGTATATAGGTTGTTGTTGGACTGTATATGATTTGGCAGTCTTCTTGATTTTGTGGAGATTTTCCAGGTTGTTGTCGGTCTTTTCATTAAAGAGGCCATTTGCATCAAAAGGCAGATTCTCTATCCATGCTTTGACATCTTCAATGATGTTTGAGGATCTAGGCCATGTGCGTCGTCTTAAAGCAATGGCAGATGTGAGAGTCTTTGAAGCTGTGTTTGCCACATGGTGAGAGGCTAACCTCTGGTGTTTTGAGACTGTGAGGAACTCTGCATGAGTATTAAGAAAACTTTGGTGTTGTCTGGAGCTGACTGAACAGCTGGGAGTATTCTCAACCACAGCTCTTTGGTATGCTCCCATGGCAGCCAGGTAATTTGCCACACGGAGTAAAAATGTAGTTAAGGAGTATATCTTCCTTCCTAACACATCAAGTTTTCTACCCTCTCTATTAATTGGGGTGACCTGAGATCTTCCAAATGATTTGGATGAGCTAGATTCCACAATTAAGAAGTTTGGAATCGGGTGTTTCGTGAGAATCCTGGTGTCACCCCCGTGTATGCGGTACAAGTTTTCTGTTCTTCAAGCTATGGGTGTAGAAGGAGATGGTTGATTCCATGATTCTTTGACGAGTTCCATCAAAGCTGGAATAAATGCTAAGCTCAATGGATGGGTCCTCTCCTGATTAATATCCCAATATCAGGTTTTCAGAGGGAGGAGGAGGTTGTTCAGTGTGCATCTTGAGAGTCTTGGCCATCCTAGATATCATCTGGACATAAGAGGGGAAGTCCTCTGAGGGTGATGATGGATGGGGGTCACCTGCATCTGATTCAATTGGGTCTTCACCCACAGTTGTCTCTCCTGAAGCTTCAGATAGAATGTCATCATCTTGGTCTGAGATGCCCGAGGAAATCTCCTCCTCCTGGTCTGAAGTAGAAGGTAAGTGAGACCTCTTTGAAGTTCGTCGTATAACCTCTGATTTGGGTGCTCTCAGTTCATACGTGGAACGAGAACCTCTTGATGCGGATTGTTGGGTATGAGGCTGTGTGGAGATAGTTTTAGCCTTATCAGCACGCTTAGAGGATCACTGCTTGTTGACGTCGCGATGTTGTCAATGTCGACACCGGGGTGCAGATGAAGAGGAAGAAGAAGGCGATGATGCATACACATATCGGACCTTCTTTTTTCTATGGTAGTCTTCTGAGCTCGACGATGAATCGGACGCCGAGACAGGAGGAACAGTTGTTCAATGGTCCTTTGATTTATCCTTATCCCTAGGCGGTATCTTCTTCTGTTTCAGGTTTTTGGAGTAGCTCGAAGCTGCTTTCAACGTGGAGGTATGTGTCTTTTTAACAGTAGATTTTTAACAGGTTTGTCGACGGATTTTGATGTCGACAGTGGAGTTGTGGAGGCAATCTGGGCTTCCGACCTTGGAGTGGACAACGGTATTGCAGCAGATTCCATTTCGGATGTTTTCGATGTCGAGAGCATCTTGTCCTAGAGAAACAGTTTTAAACGCTGCTACTGAGCTTTTAAAGCTGCCTTTGTGAATTTTTTACAATGCCTCCACAAATGAGGCTGATAGGATTCACCTAAACAGAAAAGGCAGAGATCATGGCCGTCCGAAAATGGCAGCTTACGGGAGCAGGACAAACAATGACTGAAGGGTCCGGAGGGGGACATAAAGTAGTAAATAGAACAGGTAGAGAACTCACAATAAATCAATTATGGAAGTCCAGAAGATTATATGTAGAACCTAGCGGGAAAAGTCACACATGGATCCGCCGCAGGCAGTGTGAAAAAAAAAAAGGCGGGAAAACAGTTTGTGATCCGAAAAACCTTCTCCAAGCTGTTATGATAAAGAATGGTCAGTCAGTCCGTAGTCTGGGCCAACAAAGAGTGAGGATAGTCAGGCAAAGTCCAAGTCAAGTCCGTGTAAACAAGTATTTTTAATCGAAAATGGGAGCTCTAGGATCGAGAGATTCCAAAGCCAAAGGCGGTAAAATGGAACTGAGGGCTGAGGTGGGGGAGCATGCGCGGTAGAGGCAACACTAAACTTTGTTACTTTTCTATAAAAAGCTCTAGAAGATTCCGAGAGGACCAGTACAGCCGCTGTCAAAACCCTATTGTGTGCATTCACAAAGGCCACGATGAATTAAGGAGGAAGCTGCCATAGGCCATACAGGCAGTAAGAACACAATATGTACACAACAATAAAACTTGCATGAATTAGATTTTTACCTGGAGCTCCCAGAAAATACTCCGTGTATGCCTGTGATAATAATGTCTTGCTGGGATATATTCAGTTCCTGTCTTGTTAGTCTTCAAGTAGTTTTCCACATGCTTAAAAAACCATGGCTTGTAGTAGTTCCCAATTCCATTAATCTTAAAATAAAGAACAGAAGCTCATGAAAAACCATGGACAAATTTTCTTCATGACTTGGGTGTTTTTGTAACATGCTTGAAACCAACATGCACTACTTCTGCTTACCAGAAATGCATGAAAAAATATGAAATTAAGAATCTAACTGGATCACAAACCAAGTCAAATTTATACTACGAAGATCCTTTGTGCCAGAATGTGTTTAGTGAGCTATAAACCATAGGAGTGGTGCAAAGTGTCAGCCTTCTGACTAATCAGCACCTGCAGAAACAACTGCCAGTATCGGTGAGATGTAGCTTTGCGTGTCCTCCTGTACAAGATGTCAACAACGTTTATATAACACTGATAACAAAAGAAAGTGAAACGTATTTAATGCACAGGATTGATTGGCTCTATCTCAGTGATACCGGCAATGTATTGTTTGTGCAGGTGGCAATTAATGAGAAGGATGATACTCTGCATCACTTCTAGGACTTGTAGCTCACTAAATTTTAATCTGATATAGCCGTAAGGATTTTTCATGTGTTTCTGTGAAGCAATCAAGCATACTGCATGTGGTGTTGTAAGGGCATAATCCTAACTAGTTGTTGTGATGTAGGAACTTCAGAGGACTTACTCCAGTCCTCTGAAGATGCCGGCCAGAGACTGGCGAAACGTCAGGAAGAACAACCTTCAGAACAGGGCCTAAGAGCCCGAAAAACCCACAACAACCATTAGATCCTGGCCGTGAAAGCCTTCGTGAATACATAATCCTAACTGTTGAAGATTAATTTGGAAGCCATTATGTTCTACCCTTTGTAAAACCATGCTAATCCTTAGAGACTGATTTGGAAAGTGCTGTCTTCTCCCGTTTCTAAGACAATGTATTCAAAGGGTTTGGAACCAGACACCCTTGACTGGGATTCTCCTCACGAAACTGGATGTTCTTGGCGCCTGAAAACTGATGAGGTGTATGATTTTGACTAGACCCCTTGTCCCTAACTCAAAGTCTGCTCTACAGGAGCAGTGGAGCCTCTGAAGCCACGTGGACAAGGGGAAACAGGTGGAAATCACCTCCCTTTCCATTTGCGGAAGGCTTGGTGGAGCAAAGTCACTCCCATTCATGGAGGAACTCTGCTGGATGAATGCCAAAGTTGTTTTCCTCCAATATGACATTAATTTTGAGTGGTGTCACTTGGAAAGAAAAATTATATCAGTCAGAGTTTGCAAACATTTGAAACAGGGCTGGGAAACTCCTTCTGGACCAAGCCTTGTGTTGGCACCAGACAAACACATAAGGGCCTGCGAAGTAACAGTGGGCAGGATTATACTCCACTACTGATATCTGAGTTCTTAGTTTGCCCACATGCCACTCACTGGCATACTCATATACAGTGGTGCCTCGCTTAACGGGCGCTCCATTTAGCAACAAAACCGCATAGCGATTAACTTTTTGCGATCGCAAAAGTGATCGCATTGCGATGTTTCCTATGCGGTTTTATCACTTTGCGATGATCGGTTCCCTGTCTCACTTACCTATCATCGCAAAGCGATGATTTTTAAACAGCTGGTCGGCGGTTCAAAAATGGCTGCCGGGTAAAAAAATATGGCTGCCCACTGAGTTTTCGCGCCAATTCCTCGCATAAGAGGCAGCGAAAATGGCCGCCATATGGAGAATCTTCGCTTTAAGTTGAGTTTTAAGCCCATAGGAACGCATTAAACAGGTTTTAATGCGTTTCTATGGGCTTTTTTAAATTGCATAGCGACGAAATTGCTTAGCAGTGATTTTTGCTGCACGGATTAACATCGCTATGCGAGGCACCACTGTATACACAGCACACTCATACATTTCTCCCACATTGTAACCAGAGATTTAAAAACTTTCCATGACGTCAGTGGAGTATTTTTTTTTTTCTAAAAGCCTCCTTGCAGCAGGCAAAGCATGGCTGGGAATGAGGATGGTCAGTGGTATACTTGGGGAGGGACACTTTTTCTCCTGGCAGCAACAAGACTTCCAAACATGTCCCTCCACTCTGGCTGCCATTAGGCTTTGTAAAAGCTTCCCCTGAGATCAGTGGGGGCGGGGGTGTTGTTCTTTAAAGCCTTGCAGCAGTACTGGGGAGAGACAGGGTGGAAACTGGTAAATCAGAAGGGCCCCATTCCAGGTTTAAGATATTTTGCTGGACCACAGACTTTAGACTGTTCTAACGACTATTTGCCAGTCCTAGAGAATTACTGCTCTTTAAGCTAACAGTTTTCACAGAGGAGTTGGTCTGTTTTAACAAGCCATAGCCACAGCCAGACACACACAGCTAGGACAAAGATATTGGTGGCACTTTTGAGGTTAACAAATTTACTTTAGTGTGAGCTTGGGTACTCTCAAAGACGCCACAAGGCTTTTTGTTTCATTTTTGCTCTTCCGCAGGGGAAGTCCAGACATAATATAGATTTTCCAACATCTTCCTCAGAAAGGTAATTCCCTGGACTTTTTCAGGCAGGAGTGAGCAACTTGAAAGCCTTCAGATACTGTTGGACTGCAGCTCCTTTAATCCTTGCTTGCATAACCAGCAGTTAGGGATGATGAGAGCTGCAGTCCAGAAACATCTGCAAGGCTACCAGTTCCCCATTCCTATTTTTTGGGCAAGTCATAAAATATAAACTGGTATATAAAAGTATAGAGTTAACAGGGTTGTCTTGTTTTCAAAGCAGCTGGCTGAATCTGCAGGAGATGGAGGCAGATCTGTCCTGCCGTGTATTCCTGCATGCCCTTAACAAGCAGAAGAGGAAGGGACCATAGCTTAATGGTTCAGCGCATGTGCGACATGCAAAAGGTACAAAGTTTGATCCTTGGCATTTCTAGCCAAATTAGGAAATAATCTTGTCCAAAATTCGAAAGATTCACCACCAGCCACTGTTGACAATACTCGGCTTGAGAATCCTGTTCAGTATAAAGCATCATGCCATATTCCTAAGAATAAATCTTGTTCTTTTACCTTGCTCTGGTCAGCTTCATTGGTCAAAACCCCGGTCATGATGACAGCTTCATCCAAAGAATACACCAGACCCTCCACAAAATTATTCTCTTTCTTTCCCGACTCTTCCGCAAATCTCCTGCAAATCGCCTTTAGTCCTCTCACGGGCTCATAATGCAATTTCACATATTTCTTGGCCGGGATCATCTTGATTTCTGCTGCAACCAGGAAGCCCAGGGTGCCACAAGACCAAGGCACGGCATAAAATAGATCCGAGTTCTCTTCCTGCAAAAAGCGCAGCAGACTCAGTTAAAGATTGATACAGAGAAAGCATAACACGATAAACTATAACAAAGGAACATGTTATCTTACTGGCGTACACCTGACATGGCTTCCATCAGCAAGAACAAGTTCATAGGCCACACAGGTATGCTGAAATAGCCCATAGATATGGGAGGAAGACTCAATGCCAGTCCCCATGATCAGGCCACCTGTGCAAAACAGAAGAATAAGGTGAACTATCTCTTATGCAGAAAGCAGCTTAGGTCTGGAGATGGGGGGAAGTCATACATTAACACTGAATATCATGAATTACAGAAAAATGGCTATTAAAAAAGTATTTTGATTCCTAGGCCTGATTTGTGGACTGTACCAAATTATTTTCGAGGAATTAGAAAGCACAAATTCATCTCAAGACATCTCACCTACAGTAAGATCATCAAGTTCTGGTACCACCGGAATAGTCCAGCCCATGCGGTTGAGGTGTGCTGTCAACTGTCCCATTGAGACCAAGGGTTCCACACGGACAACCTACAGCAGAGGACATTTTAAAAGGCCACATTTTTAAATACCAGGTATAAATACAAAGTTGTATTGTACTTCTTTTGCTTACACAACAGTTAATGTCACCTTAAGGAGCACGCTCTCATTTGTCTGCTAATAGCAGACAAAACTGTGCATTTTGTGCCTCCTCCGCACACCATAAGAACGCAGGGTTCACTCTTACATGAAGTAACACACATGTGGTCAGCCAACTACTCACAGTTCTGTCCTTCCAAAGTTCTGCCCAACATGTGTGAAGCTGCCAGAAACATTAAAAGCACAGCAACCCCTCCTCCAAGCTTTGTGTGCTACAATTTATTTATTTATTTATTTATTTAACTTATATGCCGCCCACACTACCCGAAGGTCTCTGGGTGGCTTACAGCATTTAAAATACAATAAAAAGGCAAAATAAAAGGGCAAAATAATTAAAATGCAATTACAGTGGTGCCTCGCTTAACGAGCCCCTCGCTGAGCGATGAAATCGCTTAATGAGGCGCTCTGGGCCATCGCTGGAGCATTCGCTCAGCGATGGCCCCTATGGGGATTTTTCGCTTTGTGATATTCGCTAAGCGATTCGTTTAGCAAATATCGCATAACGAAGCGGGGAGAACAGCTGATCGGCGGTTCCAAAATGGCCGCCGGAAGGTCCGCGCCGCATTTTCGCGCCCTGCCCTCGCTTACCGAGGGCGCGAAAATGGCGGTGCTATGGCAGAACCTCGCTTAACGGTGAGTTTTCAAGCCATAGGAACGCACTGAACGAAGTTCAATGCGTTTCTATGGCTTTTTTTATTCCGTTTAGCGATGTTTCGCTATAGCGAAGGTTAATCCGGAACGGATTAACCTCGCTATGCGAGGCACCACTGTAAAATGTATATTCTAAAAATTGCCATCAGACCCACAGCTGATATTATTTCAGTTAAAAGCCTTCTGGAACAGGAAGGTTTTGACCTGGCACCGAAATGTCATCAGCGTCGGCACCAGACAAATCTCACTCGGGAGGGCATTCCAGTCTGGGGGCAGCTGCCGAAAAGGCCCTTTCTCTACAAACCCTCCCTCTTATCTCCTTAAGGGACGGCTCTTTCAAAAGGGCCCCCTGGTTAGATCTTAACTGCCGGGTAGGCGCATGTGGAAGGAGGCAATTAAGGCACCATCTCTCCTCCTTTGCTCTGCTAGCCTACAATCAGTCAGAAATGTGTCTATTAGGTAGCTAGACAAGCTCAGGGCATATTATCTCCCCGAGTCCCACATCTAACCCTGCAATTCAGCTTATCAACCACGTCCACCACACAGCTGGGGAATGTCAGGCTCAGGGGTGCAAACCCAGCCCTCCCGGAGTCCCTTTGTGATTTCTCAGGCTCCCCACTTTTTATATATTTTCTTTCACATTCTAAATGGTGGAAATGTCTCTCCTAAGACTTTTACATAAAAAATGTGTTTGTATTTTTCTTTTAAACTGAATTTGATCCTCAGGCTGAAGGATGTTTCCCACTCCTTCTTACTACAGCATTTCTGCTCGTATCTTCACCTAGAGCAACTACTCATTATAAGAGTTATTTAAAACAACCACAACTGAAGAACTGTGTTCACAAAAGTGTGCAATAGTAAGAAAAGAAAACTAGTGTAGGCAACTGCTGGTGACGAGGAGGAAACACGTAACTGAAAGACACATGTCCTAAGGAAAAAACAAGGGTCTCTAATTACAGCCAATTCAGGTTATGCATGGTATATCCAGCAGCATTGTCATAAAATGGCTCAGGAAAAAATAAAGGGAATACCACCAAGGAGACATGGAATGCCACAATCGAACAACACCACTGTATCATACAAAAGTGTATCTAATACAACAGTGGAGTGAACAAAATATAGTAATGGTATTGTCACCTCAGATGTACCTGGAGGATCAGGTTTTGATTCTTCTAGTGAGGGATCTACAATTCTTGGCATGCGCCACCAGAAATTGCAGCCACCAGTTTGGGGTCTCTCTCTCTCTCTAACATACACACAAAGCAAAGACGCTTCCTCCGAATCCTCTCGTGAAAAGGGTAGGCAGGAACTGTGCTGATTTCCATGCTTGGTCAGAGACCCAAAAGAAAGCCACAATGGAAGGAACGTCTACCTTCCTGCCTCTTTTGCCTATAGAAAAAAAGACCCTATAAGAAACAGAGGCAGGAAGAGTGCAGTTTTCTTATCCACACTTGGTGCTTCTGAAACTAGCTTGCATTCAGTGAAAAATCTTATTACTCATCATGCTTAGCTGAGCAGGATGATTTTTAAAAATCAGCCAAAAGCCTTGTGACTCATCTGAGAGTAACGTTTAAAGGGGTAGCTACGTTGATGTGTGTCAGTGCGAAGAGACTGAGAACCTGGGGTGTATGAAACATGAAATTCAGTTGCTGGACTCTTCTGTGAGCCTGAGAAACTAACTTCACAGGCAGAGGTCAATGTGGAAAGGCACAGTTCACAGTTTCAGCTCAACTTCTACTATTAAATATTTCAAAGGAAGGACTGAGCAATGATATTAAAACCAATCCTAGCCTTGACCAACTTACTGGGGTTTTATTTTATTGCAGTGTTTGTACATGAGAGTGTTAGCGACTACCTTGGAAAGTTGGCACATTCATTCTCAGTTGCCCAGCCTTGGGTATTTCTTTTTGGGGTTAAATTTCATGGAGCGCCTTTAAGGAGACTAGGCAGGTGATGGGAATGAGCTGGTTCCAGTTAACTTCCACAGTGTTTGCCATATCTGCCTCCCTCTCAGAGCTCCCACCCCAGGATAAGAAACAGCAGTGTAGCAAAGCAGCAGCAAAGACAGAAGCTTGACTGGAGAACTGTGACATCCAGCAGCTACAACTAAAGCAATACAATGCAAACCTCAAACTCACCAGATCTGGCATCTTTAACACTAACAATTTGATTTCAATGTCAGCTTTTTTTGGATCACAACCCACCTCCTCACAGTCAAGTGAGCCTCCTAATCTTAAAAGTGTCACAAAACTTCTGTTTTTGTTACACAAGAATGGTGTTATGTTGGGTCCTTCTTGAGTCTGATTAATTATGGAAGCATGTCTGTAGAGCCAATTAAGATGTAAGACATCCTTCAAGCTTACCTGTCTTTCAGTGTCCACCTCTAAAACATCCATTAAGTTGATTGTTATGTTTTTAAGAGTTTTCTTATACTTTCCAACACGAAGAGAAACTGTAAGCCAGCCAGGGCGGCCTGTGCACATATATGTTTTTTGGCCTTCTTTTTTCCATTCTCGTACCTAAAAGAAAGGTAGATTGACTCAATCTCCTTACATTTAATGGATAATTATGTTCTTTGGCTTGAAGCTGTCTATAAGTAATACATCATTAAACATGTCTTCAATTTAGGAAAATTAGATTTTTGGGCTAAAATCCTATATATATATATATAAGTATGTAGGTATGTACTTTATATACATACTCTCTCTCCTGGAAATAATTCCCATTTCATATGAGGTAATTTCAAATAAACACACATTAAATGTCAGACAAAAAGGTGATGGAACCAGACTCTGAAATGAAAATATGTAACAATATGATACATCACTGCCAGTAAGCAAAGACGATACTGGCTAGATAGACAAACAGTGTGACCTGACAAAAAGCAATTCGGCATGTACCACCTAATAATTTGATCCTTCTGGTCCAAAATATTAGACAAAGTTAAGATAGTGCTGAGTTTCCCAGAAGTGCCCATATTTTAAAAATGCAAACATGAACTTGGTACTTCAGTCAATATTACCTTTGGTGTGACTACACCTGCAGAGAATTATCTGAGTCTGAATCATCACTGCAGGAAAGATTTCCCCAAGCAAATACTAGCAGAAGCCTAATAACAAGAGTGAGTCATGAACTACATACATGGTAAGTGGGCAGGCTAGGAGAAAGGGGATAAAAGGGTCTCTCCTTGTCTCCTTTGTAATCACAATAGACACCAAATGAGGGAAGAAGGCTCCTTGCTTATGCCTGGCATACAAATGAAGCTACCTGTCCCTATATACACCACAAAAGATAAAAAAAGACAAAAATGTTGTGCCTGGTATATTTTAATGTACACTTCTGTGGACCTTCTATGACCACTTCTGCAGACATATGAGGTGGAATACAGAGATCGCACAGTAAAACATTCATGCAAGTATCTAAGAGATCAGTATCTAAGAGATAGTGGTGTATGTGCAATGGTTTATAACTCATGTTGGTCTTCAGTTCTTTTAAAGCCCTGTAAACATTCCAGCAAGAGACACAAAACCAGTCTTGCTGGAATTTTTACAGGACTTCAAAAGAACTGAAGACCAGCATAGGCATTTTGCCTTTTTGTTTCTACCTGATATGGTTGCACAGCTGAATGTGGCTACCTCTTTTAAAAATGTTCCTCTAAGATTACTGGCTAATGTTTTGAGGCAAAAAGGCTAGAAACTTTCGAGGTCTGATTTACCATGGTATCCTAACACAAGCCACATAAGGACTTTGCTAAGCCACCTTTGGATTCCAGTTTGTTCAAAAGAGTACTGAGAACTGAACAGATTAAATACAGATGGCACTCTCCAAACAAGTAACAGCTTTGCAAAAACAACTAAAAATCATCATCATCATCCAATACTGGTGTCAGCTGACACTGGTTCTTGCAGCAGCTATCCCTTGTGACTTTGCAAGGCTACAATCGTTATGTAATTATTATTCCTTTTGCCTGGAGAAGCTTGGTATTGTTAGGCTGCAACACCTATCAATCCTCACCAAGGTTGGGGGGGCCCTCAGGCTGATGGGAGTTGTTGTCCAACAGCACCAAAAAGATCATTGTTGCCTACTGCTCCTGTAGATAGGTGGCCTAAATCCCTATGATGCCAGCAACAAAACAAAAAACAGCACGTTATCTATATTAGAAAGCTTTGGGGGGGGAACAATGCAACAACCAGAAGATGGAGCCAGAGAACGCCAGGTACCTTTGCTGGTGGGAGCAAATCAGGAGAGTTTGATCAACATTAAGCGGAAAAACACACACGTGTCCAACATCCCCACCAGAGCTTCTTGACCCCCCCCAAGGGTTTTCTTCTCTCGCTTTCCCCCACGCCCCCCGTTCTTTTTTTTTAATTACCTGCGCCTGGATGTTGAGGACGCGCAGGTGGTGCTGCCGGGGAGCGCTGTGGAGCTTCTGCACCAGCCAGGCGCGGACCTGATAGTAGATGTCGAAGAGGACCGAAAGGGGCAGCAAGAAAAGGCACACGAAGACCCAGCGGTGATGGATCAGCACGTAGGCGATCCCCTTGTAGCGAGCCCAGAGCAAGAGCAGCAAGAGGCCGACCCCGAGGGAGAGCAGCGGCCCCATCCTGAACCCCCCCCTCCGGAGACCCGCGATTCACACGTTCGCGGCGGAGATCCGGTTC